AGACTTCGTCTCACCTATTTTGGTCATGTTGTCAGAAGGGACCATTCCCTGGAGAAGGATGTCATGCTTGGTAGGGTGGAGGGTCACCGAAAGAGGGGGAGGCCTTCAAAAAGATGAATTGACACGGTGGCTGCGATGATGGACTCAAGTATAGCAGGGATTGTGGGGCTGGTGCGGGATCGGGCAGTGTTTCATTCTGCTGTGCATGGGGTCACTATGAGTCGGAAACGACTTGACGGCACTTAACAACAACAACAACAACATAGTTTATTTAAGATATCAATATGTTATTGATTGTGCAAATTGATTAAGAATGAAATTGTATCTATGAGAATATCAAATTATACCCAACACATTCAAGTAGATTAGTGAGAACTTGGAAATTTGGATTTAGCAAAAATCTAAGGCACTGATTCTTAAAGCCTAAATCCCATTTTGAAGCCAAAGATCATTTTTGATTAGTGTCCAATGGCAATTTGTTTATTTGTTGGCAGTTGTGTCTGTGTTCTGGGCTGGTGCTTAGAAACCATTTTTTGTGCTTTTGCATCTCATTGCCACAGCAACAAGCATTCTTTGATTCTTCACTCACCACACACAGGACATGAAAAGGGCACAGTGCTCTTCTTTGAAATAATAGCATTGTTGGAGACACCAGAGACAAACAAGAGGAACTCCACTTCCGCAGGAAGCATGCATCTGGCCACAGTTCATTTCACACTGTATCTTCCAGGGGAATACAGCAACATTCAGTCATTCAGTTTGGAGAGGAGAAATAAGAGTCATGTAGAAAGAATGGAAAAGAATGAGCAAAAATGAAACCTATGCTTTCATTTTGTTCTCTCTGAGAACAGTCTACATTTGCCCTAATATTTTTCTTAATTACAGGGAGATTAGCATTTAACACAGATTTAAGCAATCTATACTGGAATTATTTCCTGTGTGAATTTCTTGTGCTGGCAGTAAGCAAGCTACAGTTGCTGATGGCAAACATTTCTGGGAAGAACATGAATCAGATTAGCAGTATCAAATTTTAACTTCTGGATTCCCTTGTGTCTTTGCCATTGAGTGGTAGGAACCAGTGAAAAGATGTGTTAGTTTAGCTATTGGATAGAGGTAGGGCAACACAGAGACCTGTGTTTCCTTCTCCCACGGTTGCAATTATTTCCCCCTGGAAGTTGCACTGTAGCTAATAGCACGCTTTTTTCACTCTCCTGCTCGGCTCATCATTTCATCCTCCCAACCCTACCACTGCTGTTGGTATTTGACCATGGCCTCCTGCCAACCTACCAGCCTTCGATCCTTCAGTTCCGACAGGTCTCACACCTTGAGCCATGCCTCCTACCTGAGGGACAGTGCCATGATCGATGACACAGTTGTGATCCCCAGTCACCAGGTACGTGATTTGTTTTGCCTCATGTGTCTGCTTTATAAAGAGCCTTTTAACATTACATGATGCAGTATTGGTCCAGAGAACATTTTTAATTCAGTTGACTAGCTAAAATAAGAGATTTGAAGGTTTTTCTAAAACATAAGCATTTTTCACTAGATTTTTTGGTGAGCAGAGTTTGAGCAAATTTACTGCTTATTTCTTCAACCATATTGAATTTTTCTATGGAGACTATTATAAAAATCCCTATTGAATGAAAAGTTGAGGTAGGATGCATCTAAAGTATAAGATGAATGGTACAGGTTAAAATACATCTCTCAATATTTAAAATTGCTAACTATTAGAAAAACTCAGAGTCAAGTTTGTAATGTATTAATTATAGATACGATTTTATCATTTTTGACTGGATATAGGGTTGTATATCAATAATATAATTTTAATGGACATGTATTATAAAGATTCTTTTTAAATGAATCAGTCTTACGTCATATTTTCAAATACAAGTTTTTCCAGATAATACCACGTTCCTGTAATATTACTTTTTAGATTTCATTATATGCTACTTTATTTGAAAGAAAGCATTTTATTAAATCCAGTGTTCTTTGTGTTTAGGTGTCAACTCTAGCCAAGGAGGCAGAAAGGAATTCTTATCGTCTAAGCTGGGGCACTGAGAACTTAGACAACGTGGCTCTTTCTTCCAGCCCTATTCATTCAGGGTAAGTAAATCAATATTATGTATCCAGATCAAGAGGAAAAAGAGATGAGAGTGAAAATAACAGCTTTGTCCAGTATCTTTAGCTGATGACTAGCTTGCAATGGAGGTGACTTTTCTTTAAACTTGTAAATAACATTGCTTCATCCAAACAAGCTAGAAAAAAGGGTTGAATTCAGCCTAGAAAAAGCTAATGTGTAAAAATAACTGGTAGAATTGAGTCATACAGGTTTCTTCTTACCAGAATTTACCAGTAGCCTCCATGGTGTTCATAGGATATTTTTGAGACACTTAAAGAGATGAGCAGGATCATTTACTTTTGAGAAAGTTTCTATTTTCTAAGATTGATTCTTTTTAATACTCTTTTCCTCATTAAATATTTATTCTTTGAACTAAATACTTTATCTATTTCAATGCTGCTTATTTAACAGAAGCTTTATTTATACAAATTTATAGAGGAATTCAAATATAAAGTAAGAATATAAATAAAAAGGAAAATTTAAATGTAACCCATCATCCATAAAGTATATATTCCACTATTAAAGGAATGTGAATCATTAAAAAGTAGAGCTTTCAGTTAAATAACTTAAACCACACTCAAAGTTGTCCTTAAGGTGTACAAATTCAATTATATGAAATAGAAATGTCTTACAGTGTTTTAAATTGTAGACCTTCACAATTTGTTTCTTACTTATATTTTGGTAGTTTGAAGTAATACAGTATTATAATAAGCATACATTAAATTCCATATTTCATGTAGAGTTATCACTTTTTCTTAAAATTCCACCCACATTTTACCTAATTAAATTCAATGCTTTGGTTTAAATAATTGTCCCAAATTCCTTTTCTATAATCCTGAGAACTATTTTGAGTAATGAAACTTACCTTGTTTTTATAATTCCAATATATTTCTCCTTTCAGGAAACCATTCTGAGATATTATAGTTAAAATTTTTAGACTTATTATCTAATCTACAAATAAAGGTTCATAGATTATAATTTAATTATACAGATATTGAAAAATAATCATAATACTCTTTTCTTCATTAAATAACTAAAAACTAATTCCTTATGCAAAAGTTACTCAGGGGAATGAGGAACCAAATTCAACCACCTTCATATTTACTCATATATTTTTAAATATAAAATGGAATTATTGCAAAATCTCAAAGTGATAAATTATTTTTTAAATAACATTTTATTTTGCTACTGAATTTGTCAGCAATGATGATTAAGAAGAAAAAGAGTCATGGACCTAGAATATTCAAGGATAAAAATAGATAAGAAGATAGAAATCGACCATAATGAAGTATTGAAAATCCATATCCAGCCTACAAAGTGACAGGATTATTTTAGGGAAAATGTAATTTAAATAGGAATAACTGAATTTGCAAGAGTTAAAATATTGTACTAGTTATTCAATTGTCAAAAGAAATTATTTGCTTCAGAAAAGGGATTTCTTAAAGGAGTTCTGTAAATTATTGAAGGATATTGAAATACTCAGTTTAAGAACATCAGTAAAACCAAAAACCAAACTCACTGCCATCAAGTCTATTTGACTCATAGTGATCCCTCGTTGGGTTTCCGAGGTGGTATCTCTATGGAAGTAGATTTCCCAATCTTCCTTCCGAGGAGGGGCTGGTAGGTTTGAAACACCAGCCTTCTGGTTAGTAGTCAAATGCCATAGGCATTATGCCACCAGAGCTCCCAAGAACATCAATATATAGGCAAATTGTGTAAAACAAGATACATCTGTACATAATCTTATGGTTGATTACTTATGATGAACCAAGAAAATCCAGTGGTTAAATTAATCAATTAAGATAAGTATCTTTTAAACATTGGTCTCTAATCAACTCTTTTTTCTGATAATTTCAAACATGACACTGATGATAAATAATTCTCAACTTTGACTAAACTTTAGAATCACTTGGGCATTAAAAAAAAAAAATTACTGATGCCTAGGCCCCACCCTGGGAGCTCTGGTAGCATAGTGCCTAAGACACTTGACTGCTAACCAGAAGGCTGGAGGTTCAAACCCACCAGCCACTCCTTGGAAGGAAGATGGGACAGTCTACTTCCATAGTGATACTGCCTTGGAAACCCAAGGAGGGGTCGCTATGAGTTGGGTCCGACTCCACGGTACATAACAACAACAACAGGCCCCACCCCAGACCAATCACATCCGAAATTATGTTGGTGAGGCCTGGATATTGGCAGTCTACAAGAGCCAATAGCCCAGATTTTTAAATAAATTGTTAAGAGTTTACTTAACGAAGCTTTGATTATTGGTAAGAGCTAGGTTATAAACATATACCTATTTCCCTCAAATGTTTTTTCTCTTTTCCACTCACTTACATATTAATTCTTTATATATTTGTCAAATTCTATTAAATAGCAGACATTATAACAAGTACTAAAGGAAACAGATAAATAAGACCTATTGTTTTTGTTAGTCTCTCCCTTTAAGAAGTATAACTGTGTGTTATTATTTGAAGTTGGATGATACTCTATCTGTGGAACACAGATTAACATAATGGTACAGAGCATGCTTTGGAGTGACGCCAGTCAGAATTCAGAACCTGGCCCTAACACTCAGCAGGTGACACTAAGCAAGTTATGTAAAATATCTAAGCTTCAGTTTACTTCTCTGTAAGATGAGTATCATATTTTTTATCCCACATGAAAGCCCTGAGTATTAAATAAACATTTTAGATAATTAGCATTTTGCTTAGAAAGAGTAAATGCTCAGTAGGTGACTGCTATTCAGATTTATGTAATCCCGATACACATCTTCCACAAATACCAAATTAGGTAAACACAATATATTCTGAAAACTCTAAGTGATGATACTAAGAAAAAAAAAAGGAAGCTCATTGCCATCGAGTTGATTTGATTCATAGTGACCCCTCCTTGGGTTTCTGAGGTGGTATCTTTTAAGGAGTGGCTGGTTGGTTTGAACTGCCAGCCTTCTGGGTAGTAGTCAAATGCCTTAGGCACTACATCACCAGAGCTCCCACAATGGCAATATCTGATTTATAGTTATTTTTATCAGATAATTTTATCACTATCATCGCTCTACAATGAACAAACACTGCAACAGATGACTCTTACAGGATGTGTGGTTACCTCTGAAAAGTCAGTGATTCTAAGTTTCATGATATTAAAAAGCTGCCATGATACTAATGCATATAAGCAGTAGTCTTCACACTACATCACGTAACAATGACTTTTTGGTTATTTATTCGTTGTACACCAAATGCTTGAGTAAGAGTTTTATCAATTTTTTTGAGGAACTCAGTTTTTTTGTAATTTTGTAATGAGAGAATTCTTAACCTACTTCTTAAAATTCTGCCCAGCTACCACTGCTGCCATTCCAAAAGGGATCACAATAGGAGGTCCTCGATAGAATGGGAGCAAAATGTGGAAAAAACTCAAAATCATGAAAAAGATCAGGTTTATGGTCTGATAGAGACTGGTGGAACCCCTGAGACTATGGCCTTTAGACACCCTTCAGTGATTTCAACTGAACTCACCCCTTGGCTCAACTTTCAGCCAAACAATAGACAGGTTTACAACATTAACAATAAAACTAGTGAGATATGCACTCATTAGAAGAACCAATGATACAAGACCAAAAGGGCAGCATTTGCACAGGGATAAAGCTCGGAAGGCAGAAAGAGTTAGGAAAGACAGATGAAGATAAATGATAAAAACAGGGAGGAAGTGGGAAAAGTGCTGTTACATTGTGGAGATTGAGATCAACATCATGATACCAAATATGTATAAATAGTTGAATGGAAAACCAGTTTCCTCTGTGAACTTCCACCCAAATCACAATAAATAATGATAATAATACTAAAATGAGTTTTGATAGAAAGGATAGCAAGGCTCACTTTTTTTTATGCCAGTGCAACTAATTTGTGTGCATACTATTCTATGAGATTCCACAAAAGGATAAAAGAGTTTCTAACAGTAGTAGTCCTGGTGACTTTATTTTACTTCTACTTTAAATTTCCAGCGACTACTGTCCATGACTACAGAAGAATAGGTGTTGACGACTAAAAAAATTTGTCCTGCACGATACAGGCAGACAATATCTGGCAAAAGAAAGACTGACAATAATTTTTTTTCCTGTTGCTTATAAGGGGTTGCCTTACTGATTCAAAATGAATCTAACTAATAGTTCTTTCTAGCACACCCAGTTGTGATTATATCAGCATAAGCATGGGAAAGAATTTTAATTTTGCAATTCTTCTTCATTTCCTATGTACATGATGAATTAGCATCTATAAAACAGAATTTTTTGTTGATAGTGAGTTTTGTAATTCATTTTAAATTTTTTTCTTCCAAACATTTTTTTTATTGTTGTAGTTTTATAGTGTTGGATAGATGTTTTCTCACAGCCAAGAGCCAGCAACTAAATGTCATACACATTCAGGACACTGTAATACAAGAAGACCATGAGAGGGTGGTCTTTTAAAATTCTTCCCTTTCATGAAAACATGTTGAGGATATTAGTTTCAAATAGTGGAAACTGATACTTGAAACACAAGGAAGTCAAGGTTGTTTCTCATTTAATAACATAGATGTTTATGTAAACATCTTCAGCAGTTAAATTAGGTGTTCATATATTTCAAACACCCTAGTTTTTTTTAGGTACATGAAAGTAAATTCCTTCGGATGAAGAAAAATGTTTCATAAGTAGCAAAAACAATTCTTTTGTAAGGTGAGATTTCTGGTTCATTACACATGCATACTTTTGTATGCTATCAGATGTTGAAAACAAAAGTATGCCATATAATGCCCTATAACCTATTGCTGCTGAGTCAGCTCCAACTCAAGACAACCTTGTGTATAAGTCTTTAAAAAGAACAGACTGATAGGTATAAGAGAAATGAAAGGACGGAGGATTGTCAAGTGGGATTAGAGAATACGACCCATGATGAGAATAGCAATCTCCAAGGCAGAGAATGAAAGTCTCGGAAAAAAGGACTACAACTTT